TGACTCCTAATTACGTGTAAATAATCTATATTTAGTATAAAATAAAAATTATAATCTGTAATCTTGTTCTTTTTTTATATCGTTAACAAAACCAACTTCATGTACACCAAGATAAAATCTAGTTTTTTTAAAGTGACTCCTATTTACGTGTAAATACTCTTTCTTTACTATAAAATAAAGAATGTAAGCTGTAATCTTGTTCCTCTTCATAAGTTTAACACAACCATGTTCATGTACAATAAGATAATATTTTGTCTTTTAACGTGACTCCTAATTACGTGTAAACACTCTTTGTTTACTATAAAATAAAGAATGTAAGCTGTAATCTTGTTCCTCTTCATAAGTTTAACACAACCATGTTCATGTACAATAAGATAATATTTTGTCTTTTAACGTGACTCCTAATTACGTGTAAACACTCTTTGTTTACTATAAAATTTTTATCGTGGCAGTAAATCCTCTATCCTTAGGCTTCATCCTTCTGTAGAGAGGATATCTAGTTTGGGTCTCTTTTATCAATTGCCCGGGATACTTTTTCACACACTTTCCGTTTTCCATACATGAAGACGTTGGATTTCAAGGCTCACATGGTCTATGAGTTATTGTTATTTTGATGGTGTTAAAGAAGCGTTGGTCATTTATAGGGTCTAGAAGCTCTGTAGAGATAATTGAGTATATTTTATTGGATTGGATTTTTTGTTTTTAGCCTGATGAAAATGTATGCATGAGGGAATACTCTTTTCTGCCACTCTATAGGGCCAAAGAGTTTATACATTTTTATGAGTTGCATAATTTTTGTCGAAAAAAATTTGGCCATCAAATCTTGTTGGTCCTTCGCAGACTGTCCTTGGAAAAGTTCATCATTCACTTCTTTCCAAGAATGATTGCAGGTAAAAGTGATGAAGAGATATTGTGTTCCATATGTTCAGACATATGGCATGTTAAGATCGTTCATGCATGTATCTTGAGCTTCCTATGAAAGTGAATGGAAAAATGCACAGCCAACCAATGCATCTGCCTCTACTTTCATCATTGTTGATGTTACTAAGATGAATGTAGGAGTCAACAAGCAGTTTATGTTGGTGTATTTTCATGTACATATACCTTTCTGTCTCCACCTTGGCATACATACAGTATGAACAGCATACTGTTGGAACAAATCTTGACAATGCTGTAAATGGTTGAAGTAATTATTTCGAATCATGAAGTTGTAGGCATAGAAATCCATGCATGGCAGTTTTTGTTCCTTGAGCTTGTAGAATTTCAAAGTGGTATTCATCTTCTCCATGCACACAGATAAGTGGATACTGAAGAGCATCACAAGATCTATGTGTCTCATTTATCCTCTTTATACTGTTATCTCCAAATTTTAAGACAATGTCTCTTTTTCCATGTTTCTGGCTATTCATGACCAAGACAACCTCATTGCAAGTTGGCTCATTGAATCAATCACACAGTGTTCTCTATATGGTCGTTTATCAACATTGATCACAATATGGTAGTCCAAGGTAGGAGCACTTTCAAGTGCATATTTAAAGCTTCGTATATAATTGTTAGTGGTATGGATCATCTCCTGGAGTTGCAGTATGATATAAAGTCTGGTACCCTTCATGTAGTTACAACAATATTCTGCATGTTTTTGCATATTTCCCAAAAAATAGAGTTCTTGAAACTGTGGATGTTCGACTGGATGAGGTTGATTTGATCCAACGTGATAGTAGATTTGTTCCTGTATTTTAAATGTTGGCATAAATCAGCCTTCAAGGACGATGTTGGCTCCAAAAGATATCAGCTGAAATGCTGAGTTGTAGCCTCTGATGATCTTTGGTAAACATACAGAATCTGATGTGTCACCTAGGAGCAGCATTTTCATTGGTTTTGGTGGATTGGCTACTACATGTAAGGTAACTTTACCATTGGAACAACACAGTGATGGTGTTTCACGTTTCCACTTATTTACACTATATAACTGTAAGGTTTTCCCCACTGTGTATTCTTTCATGTATTTTTATTGACCCTTTCTTCCAAACTGTTTTTCACACTTTATATAGCTGTAAAGCTGGAGAGAAATGTGTATTCTTTCATGTTCTTTTAAATTATACTTTTTTCTAAGCCGTTTTTCACACATTGCACAACTGTAAGGTTTCACCCCAGTGTGTAATCTATCATGTATTTTTAAGTGACCCTTTGTTCCAAAGTGTGTGAAAAACAGAGATGGAAGAATCATTTAAAAGTACATGAAAGAATACACACTGGGGTGAAACCTTACAGTTGTACAGTGTGTGAAAAACGGTTTAGAGACAAGAATGATTTAAAAATTCGTGAAAGAATACATAGTGAGGAGAAACCTTACAGTTGTACAAAACTGTTTTCCACATACTTTACAGCTGTATGGTTTCTCCACAGTGTGTGTGTGTGTTCTTTCATGATTTTTTAAAGTACTATTGGCTCGAAATTGTTTTCCACAGTCTGTGCGGCTGTATGGTTTCTCCCCAGTGTGTATTCTTTCATGTGCAGCTGTATGGTTTCTCCCCAGTGTGTATTCTTTCATGTAGTTTTAATTGATTCTTCCATCTACACTGTTTTCCACACACTTTACAACTGTATGGTTTCTCCACAGTGTGTGTTCTTTCATGTATTTTTTAAAGTACTATTGGCTCGAAATTGTTTTCCACAGTCTGTGCAACTGTATGGTTTCTCCCCAGTGTGTATTCTTTCATGTAGTTTTAACTGATTCTTCCATCTACACTGTTTTCCACAAACTACACAATGATGCGGTTTCTCTCCAGAATACTTCTTCTTTTGTTATGTTATGTTATCAAATGTTTTTCCACAACTGTATAGTTTATCATCACACCGATGTTTGTTAGATGCTTTAAGGTTATTTCCACTTAACTTTGTTTCTCCACTAATATTGTTAGTTTCGGATTTTACGTCTTCTGTAAAGTGATTTTCTTGTTTTATAAAATAACCAGGAAACTGACTCCCATCACAGATGTTCCCACTGGTCTCTTTATCTAAAGTAGATATAAATTATGTCAAAAATTAGGTAATAATAAATATATTACGCATTACTTAATTTGATAAGCATCTAAATACATTTTAATGTTCAAACATGATCAACACAAATATTAATATAGAAATACTAAAAATATAACTAAGTTTAAAGTTTATAAAAAACATTTTCTACCCAGAACCGAATAGCATTAAAAACAAACTGTTGGTAACGTACCATAATCAAGAGACGTTTTTAGTAGATAACATCTAAAACTGCCTGTTCATATATGATAGTACAATGTAACATCAACCAAAACAACTTTCAGCCAATGTCTTTCTGGATTAACTGTTAGTATTTTCTAACTTGAACTGGTGATTATCATGTTATCTGAAGTTTAGGTATTATTAGAAGCTGTTTCATTACTGCCTTCAGTATGTTAAATTAAATTACTGGAGATTTGGATTGTATAGGCTGTTACTGTTCAGGATAATCACATTTATAGAAATAAATGGTCAGTTAGAAAGTTTCTTAATGTTTCATTTATATAAACAAATACTGTTCTCCTATTCATTTTGAGACAAATGCTTCTTTAATATTTTAAAAGCACTTTGTTGCCATTTTATCATTTTACACATTAATTTACAAGTACAAATAACATGTGTTTTGTCAGGTAGTATGCACAATTGCCTAACAAGTTCACTCAATGGGCCATTGTACTCATGATTACATGGATGATCACATCTTCCAGTCTTCAGTCATAGGACCACAAGCAACATAGATGGGTTTAATGTCTATTCTTACCCCACTCAACAGCTTATTCATTTGAAGGTTTTCTTCAATTACAAGCTCAGTTGGATCCAGCCTTCTCCTCTTTGTCTCCGGAACATGGAGCAAACAGTTATAATGGCCCTCACATTACATTCTCTAACAGCTCAATAGGTTCTATTTTGAGGATGTGGAAACTACTTGGAAACTCTCATTTCTATTTGTCAAGTTCATATGCATTCACTTCATTGGATACTTGTCGATCACAGGAGCTTCTCCTTGGATCTCTTGGACTACCATGCTATCTTTCCTTCTGTTGACCTCTCTTTGTGGCTTGACAGGAACCAGACCAGTTATACTAGTCCAGGGATGGGGGGTTAACATTCACTCTGAAAATTTCACTGTTGCCAATTGTATCACCAAGCAAGCTACAACCAAATGCTGGTCACTGTGTTTTTAAACTCTGGATATCCTTTTCTGAACTCACAATCACCACATGGTGATCTTAGCTGACCATGTTCTTGGTGCCGTGAATATGGTTGTGGATCAATTATTTCATCCCAATCAGATTCTTCCAATGAAGTGGCCCTTCAATCCTCATATCTTCCAGTTGGTGTGTTCTCAACGGGAAACACCTCATATCAATGCCTTCGCCAAACAATGAACATCAAACTTCCTTCATATTGGTCTCCCATTCCACACCCAGTTCAGTCAGTATTGGAGGTGTCTTCACATCTATGCCTACTTCTGTCTACATCTATGTCTACTTCAACTTCTGTCCATAGTTTCACCCTCATCCAAACCACTTCATATTGGCCTGCACAGCCATGGTTCCCTCTGCTCTGGCCTTTACTTGTACAATCTCCCCTATCTTTACTCGTGTCTCCTGTCACGTCCATTGTCTCAGCTCAGGAACAGAATATTGATGTCACATCCTTCCTTTCCTAAACCATCAGACTTCCCATAGCCATTTAACAATGTTCAATGGTCTACCTTCTGCCATGACTGGTGTAACATGGTTTCTCTCTTTATCATCCATCTGTTTTTGATCTTTCCCAATTATTCACGATGTTGTTTGACATGG